CTACACAGAAGCAGGGGATATCAGAGGTCCAGTGTCCTCCCCAGTGGTCCAGTCTTCCCACCCCTCTGAGACCCTAGAACCTGTACCTCCCTTACTGCCACAGGACTGAACCCTCCTTCCCTCTGTCCTCCCACCACCAATGCCACAGCAGAGGGCCAGGAGTGAGCAGGTGATGGAAGTTTTATGACCAAAGGTAGCTCTTGTATAACAGCTGTCTCAGGCCTGGTCCTACATCAATTTTCAGGTTCTCCCCTGTCCTCCAGGGCTCCTGGACCTCCCTCACAGAGCACCCTCATGAGTCACAACCTTTCTTAGCCTGCATAACAACCACTCATGTTCCAGATGCGAGCCCTCAAACCCATTAATTTCAGAATCACATTACAGATGAAAATTACCAGTGCCGGAGCTCTCTAGATCCAAATTTTGTCTTGTGAAAAGATGTAGGAAAAGTGAAATGATATGACAGCATTAAAAGGTGGACATTGGATGAGGTAAGCATTGTTGAGAAAATTGGTCATAAAGCACTATGTAGACACAGGTATTATACCTACATGACCTCTGCCTGCAATGGTGGAGAGACTTTTGCTGCAGTTGGTCTGGCCTGTGGGGTCTGCTTTCCTTTTCTCTCTGGCCACTTGTGTTTCACTGCACCTTGTCATGCTGCAGTTCTGAACCCTCATCTTGGTCAAGGTGAGGCTCTCAGAATTGTTCTTCATTGCCCTGAACATCTGTGACATTTTGGACAGTCAGTTTCTCCCACATTTTTCCTTGCTATGATAACATCTTTTCAGTTCCTGTCAAAGACACAAATGCTTACTAATGGTATGCTGAGTCCAGAATGCTGAGGACTTGTTGTCAAATAGACCATAATGGTGAAAGAAATTACTGCTAAAGAAAAGTACATTTTCTTTGGATCAGCAAATATATTCACCACCTCGTGAACTTTTGCAGCACATTCTCAGAAGAGGTTCTGTGAGAATTTTTTTCTTGGAATTACCCAGAATAAGATAGGTTTTGTTAGTATGGGTCTTACTTGAGCCTGAGTGGTAGAAAGCATGAATTCCTGAACTTGCACCTTTAGCCTTTCACTCGCTGCCTCTCTTCTCTCTCCTACATCTGTCTGTTTCTCTTGCCAATAACTGTGCCCACCCATGAGCAACTGAAAGGATCACAATGGATAGAAAGGAGTATAAACAATGTTCCTTTTAGAAAGCCTGTTTCATTCAGTGCTATGCATAATGCTTAAATATGCAAATGGATTTTGCACAAATGTTTCCACAGGGAAACACTGTGAACTTAGAGTTTTATCAAGAACATGATAATTAAAAATGTAGTATGTTGAAAAAAATAAAAATATAGATGTTGTTCAAATATTTAATAACTAGAGGCCCAGTGCACAAAAATTTGTGCACTGGGCGGGGAGGGGTGGCCCCTCAGCCTGGCCTGTGCCCTCTTGTAGTCTGGGACCCCTCGGGGGATGACCACCTGCTGGCTTAGGCCTGCTCCTCAGTGGATTGGGC